GGTTAGGACGTGTATTACTTATGTCTAGCCTAACCATCGCCTTCCTCGATGGCCACTGTTAACTGACTGACATAGGATGAGGTTGGAAAAGAGAAAGCTAGTGGTGGTCAAACCAAAACAGGGCTTCATCAGTCAATGAAATCCACAACAGTTAGTTTAAGCTAACTAACCAGCCGCGTATGGAGGTGTAGGCTGCTGTCTGATTGAGCTCCTCGGGATGGTAAGAACCAATGAAGGCGGCTAGAGACAATTGGTGATATGGCTCAAAATCCTCTTTGTCAATGGCTTGCGCAGATGCACTCACTCTTTGTGATTTGTCATATTCAACAAAAAATTACAGCTCTTCCATATAACTTTTTTTGCTTCACACTATTTTTTATCTTTCATGCTACCAGGAGGGAGTGTGACAACTCGAACTGTTGCACATTTGTGCAAATTGCTGGGTTGGAATCAGTCAGTCAGTCCTGCTAAGTGATCTTAAGAAAAATAGCGACGGTTATGTACGCAATGGTATTGCAGAATTCAGTGAAATAGGAGCAAGTAATCGTAAAATGTTGTTTAATTATTCACTGCTTACAGAGTTAACACTTAACTTTTTCTAGTCTCTAGTCAATGTACAATTCCACTATTGTTGGGATTCAGAAAATGACAAACAGTTAACTGTGTTTACCAGTTCAAGAAGTTATGCTTCACATGTCATTAGTATATAGTACGTCATTTGTAACAACCAAAACCACCGACGTGTTGTAGTCTAAACGCTTAGGAAACCGATCTTTGCCTTCTACAGTATAGCTAACGGAAACTTCCCTGAGTTATTCACTGTCGCAAAATACACCAACGACAGCATAGGGATAGGTAGTTGAGATAAAACCTACGATACTAATTATAACAATATTAACATATTAAATGTCAAAGTTACCTCAACAATCCTGTTAAGCAGCTATACAGATCAGATAAGTGTCTGTTACTGTAGAACGAAATTAGCTAGTGAAAAGCTCAACTGTAAGAAGTACTTGAGTATCCAAATAGAATATTCCCACCAAAGTGGGATCAAAACTCCTTCAGCAATAATTCAGGTACTCCGAGATTACGAGTCTCAAACAGGACGAAATACACATCCTAGATTCCATCCTGCTGGTCACCATCCACCAACTGACATCAAATGGTCATATTTTATTATTATTATTGTTATATCGGTGAAAGGAACACTATTTTATATTTTCTATGATTGGTTTGTAAGGATTAGCGTTGTTTTTACGAGTTGATCACGGATTGATGTCAGAGTACAATTGAAAACCACCACAGGAGTACTGGAGAGCTGTTTCGTCAGCCTAGTTTGGAAATCATCGGGAGTACGCACCCACCACAGGGGTTCGAACCCAGGACCTTCATATTTACATTTCAAGATGTGAACTACACATAACCAAGTTGAAAGCCTTTTTAGAATTCCTCTTTGTAAATCAAATTTCTTTTGATTGCATGGAGGATTTCATCATGAGCTGACATCAGTTAGAGAACCACTGGAAAACCAGCTGGGAGTATTGGACAGCTGTTTCCCCTGTCCTAGTTTGGGACTCCTCATCAGTACGCACCCACCGGGGGTCGAACCCACGACCTTCTGGTTACAAGGCTAGCGAGCTCGTAGACCATTGAGCCACTGGAACCCAATCCAATGACCGACCCATGAATTCTAACTTCTGCCAATTTTTACGACATAGCGCGACCATTTCGGAATGTCTTCTTCGATGACTTACTGCCTCATATATTCAACCTGCTCTAGATGTTTTGTTGACTTGTTAACATTATCTGTGTAATTCATCTGTTCAGTATCTCATAGTTAGAAGTATATGTATATATATGTGTTATATTTACTTCCTTTATTTCACTCTATTGATAATAATGACAATGAATTCACTTTACGAACACACATACACTCACACACAGAGAAGGAGAGGCACAAGGATTGACCTCACTTGATAAAATATTCGTTTTTTCGGAACGCAACAGTTGATTGTTTACATGTATATATTATATTGTTTATTGTACACAGGTCATCTTTATTATTATTATTAATAATATTATTATATTTATTCTCCAATTCTTCTATTCATTGTTTTTAAGTTCATGTATTTTCGATGTGTGTGTGTGTGTGATGATTGGTAAATTTCTCACTGTAACTTAATTACGCAACAGTTTCAGTTCGTTCGTTACACTTATTTTCTCTCTCTCTTCTCTCTGATTTGTCTTCATTTACATATCGGTAAACACACTGATTTATCACTCATCACTATGTAATGCACTGTGCATATGTTCAAAGTAGTCTTCATGTTATGTATCTGTATACTGCTTGGGACTGTAACAAATCGTTTAACGAATCGAAATGGCTAACATCATTCTGAGCTACATGTCCCAGGTCTCAGATACTGTGCATACAAATCAACATGTATCTGCGGGAGCAGTTACATTGAGAGAACAGTAAGAAAGGTACAACCCCGATTTTCTGAACACATACCAAAAAGCCTACCTACCTCTCAAGGGAGAAAATGCTTTACAATAGTGTCATTGCCAGACAACTCATCAGTACGGGTCATGTGGTGGACATTGTGAAATTCTTTAAAATTATCCACAGATAAAACAGTTCAATTCTTCTTAAGTTTGCAATCAAAGCAATCGATAGCAAATGCCTGAAACCCGATGTATGTTTTCAAAAAGAAGCAGTTATCAGTCTTTCTTTGTTCATCCTGTTAACTGGATGTCTTTATTCTCTCTATCATTTGACTACGGTATCTTTGACCTTGACCCCTTCCCTTTTTTACATAGCGTAACTTTTCTTCTCTCCGGTTTCTATGATTTGAATTAAACTCACCACATTGTTACTCATTTTATTAGTTACTCATCATTTTACTCACTTCTTGTCTTTATTAGGTAATTTCTTCCTTTACCATTGTATACAAACTTATGTGATGGAGAAGATTTGTAGCTTAGGTAGATAATTTTGATGTAGTTGTGTTCTCTAAGCTGGATGGTTTATTCGCGAAGCTTTCATTGCCTTACTAGGCAACATCTTCAGCGCACACTTCAATTTTAAGTGAGTTTTTAGATTTCTCGACGAGTGCGTCGGTGGCACAGTGGTTAGGACCATACGTATAGTCCGGAGTTCGATCCCCTGCTGACGCATACCTGATACCAGTGGTTGGCCTGCGAAATTTGGGCTACCGATATCACATGTTGAAAGTTCCATACTTGTAGGAAAAATACGGTGTGGAGTCAAACTATATTCAAAATAGAAATAGAAAATAGAGTAGTCATCTCTCCTGGTGACCTTGAACGTGATTGGTTGTTTTTGTGTTTTCACACCCTCTAAGCCGCTACTTGTATTGGAACTGATTGTTTCCTTGACTTGAACTTTGACCCTTTGTGTTTGTGAGATTTCCTTCTTATCGATTGGTAAATTTTGTCTATGTCAATGTGTCTATTGATTGGTGATTCACTGGAATACCAGGCAGGCTTCTAAAAATTCTCTAACATTCTTGGTGTTTCCTCTGTCTAATATTTGAACTCTGGTTGTCCCAGTTGAATTGATGATGTCCGTGGTTGTCTGTATGCAGCTATACGAGGGAGTGGATATTAATGGATACGAAGACGAAGGAGATGTCCAGCTTGGCCAATGTAGTGTTTTTCTCAGTTGCTGCAACTTATTTGCTAGAGGATGTTGGTTTTGTCTTCTTTCGTTGTTAAGTCTTTTGGTTGACACAGGCCCAGCTGGGTGGAGTGATTTTATTGGTTTGTGTGTATGACATCAATTCCTAAAGGTTTAAAGAAACTTTCAGTGATTTCTAAGATGTGTAAAATGGATTTCCCTGGGTAAAAGCCATACAAGTATAATTCTCTGAGCACTGTTCAGTAAGTTTAGAGTGTTCTGTCAGACATTAACTGACATCATTGTAACATTTGCAATTATGTTAAAGTTGTATTTTGTAGATGGATAAACTGCTTAAGGATTTCTTGAGGCTGTACACACTTGATGAGAAACCAAGGATATAAATGCTGGTACCATCTTACTGATGCACAAATTGCTGTTCTTGCTTTATTCAAATTCATAAAGTGGGATAAATGTATGAAAGATATCAATTATTATTATTGTTTCCTTTAATTCCTAGAGGAACATAGGGCTTCAGCCTCGCGTCTCCATTGTGTTCGGTTCTCTGCTAGAGTTTTCACCTGGCTCCAAGTCTGCCCACACTTTTTCATCTCCTCTTCACATGACCTCCTCCAAGTCACCCTCACACTGACGACCAACTCGCCGCTTCCCTTTCGGGTTCCACTCGAGCGATGGCTTGTCTAGCGATGTTACTTGGTGGTTTCCTCAGAGTATGGCCAATCTATCTCCATTTCTTCCTGCCTATTTGATGCACAATCGGTTCCTTCTGGGTTGGTTCGCTCCCAGAGATCTCTGTTTCTGATCGTTTCTTGCCGGCCATCTGATCTTGGGGGACTATTGAGCAAAGACAGCTGTTAATGAAGGTGTGTAGTTTGTTCGAAGTGCCCTTCATGACGCGGTGCGGCGTTAAGTCTCTGATCCGTATAGTAAGTAGCACTGACTTTACATTGGAATTGAAAATCTGGATGTTATTTTTGATGGTGAGTGCTGTTGATCTCCACACAGACTTGAGAGTAATGAAAGCTTGTCTTGCTTTCTAGATCCTTGCTTTGATATCCTCGTCACTTCCGCCTGTAGTTGAAACTATGCTTCCCAGATAGGTAGGTAGGTAAAGGAGGTAGTTTCTTTCAGGTTCCTTCCATTCATGCTGATTGTTGTCTGTTGTTGTTGTTGTTGTCGCTGTTGGCGGTGTTGCCCAGGAATGAATCTTCATCACCTCTTCCTAAAGATATCAATAGCCTGTACATTTGACTATTCATGAATAAACCAAGTGAAGCGTTATTACATTTTCAAGGTTTTTCTCATCAGTTCTTCCTTTTTATATACTCCTATTTTGTAGATATGATTATGAAAATTGTGAATCAAGTCAAGGTGATGAAATTATGAATCGACTGAAGAAGATTATTGTCAACAATGGTATAGCTGGTCAAGTATACAACACCACAAGCGGTCAACAGTTTGTTGGAGATTTCTGTGATAACTTTTCATATTCGGATCCTGTTGATGGAAGTCAAACAACAAATCAAGTAAATATACATGTGTGAAGTGATCAATTTTTTACCAACTGCTTTGACCTTACATCCTAAGAACCTCAACGAGAGCACTTGTATATTTCCTAAACACCTCGCACTAGTTCTCAATGACTTTGTGGTTTATTGTCATGTCATGGTTATTTTATTAAGGCGTTCTCTTAATTTATTATGGAGACTTGGAGAAGCCGATTAGGGGTCCATTGACATTTTTGTGTGATTTTTAATTCTATTTTTTTCATTTTTATGGTCAGTAAGTGGTTGAAATGGTGTGTTTGTTCAGCGTGTTTGTGACTTCCCGTTGGATGATATATCTGATCGCATTGATGGGTTTCTTCTCAGTATATGGACTTTTTGAATGCTGAAGGAAGTTGTCTGTTTGGTGTCAGCTAGCATTAGAGTCCAATACGCACGTTTTGCTCTGTTTGGGACCGAATGTAATTAATCCGGACTGATGAGCAGTATACACACCCTTTGGTCGATAGTCGGATGTTCGTGTATTCGTGCTGGGATTACAGAGGGCTAGTTTCGCATATGCCAGTTTACGCCGTCTCTGGCGTAGACGCCATATCCGACTATCGACCAAAGGACGTGTTTACTGCTCAACAGTCCGCCCCGTCCTCCTTTATGGCTGTGAGACCTGGCCATTGAGAGCAGAAGACATGAAAAGATTATCTGTGTTCGATCATAGGTGTCTGCGTTCTATCTCATGTGTGAAGTGGTATGATAAGGTGAACAATATTGAGGTTAGGCTTTAGTCGAGTGCTACGTAAGGTGGGGAAATCAGTCGACGAGACTGTGAAATTACATTGACTGAGATGGTTGGGACATGTGCTACGTGTGCCTAGTCATCGCCTTCCTCGACCGATGGGCAACGTTAGCTGACATAGGGTTAGGTTGGAAAAGAGCCAGCAGTGGTCAAACCAAAACATGGTTTCATCAGTCAATGAAGTAGATCCACAACAGTTAGTCTAGGCCACGTAGGAAGGTGTAGACTTCCTGGTTGGGGTCCTCGGGACGGTAAAAACCAATGGTTGGAAACAATTGGTGATGTGGCTCAAAATCGTTCTCAATGGCTAGTGCAGATGCATCCACTCCTTGTGACTTATGATTTCCAATGAAACTGTTTTGTTCTCCGTTATTACTATTCCTTTGTCTCACACCTCTGTTTACTGTCTGTATAATGCACTTCTCCTACTTTCTTCTCTTGCTTTGTATGCTACATGGAGTGTGGCGACTTGAACTACTGCACATATGTGCAAAGTTCTATGTCGAGAACAGACAGACTGACAGAATCCGCACTTGGTAGTGGTGCTCTCGCTTTGGTGACTGAAGTGATGGTTTCGAGTCTTAGTGGGGGTGACAGCATCAGTGATTTGGGGGCGAAGTTGAGTTGATGATGAATTCTAAGACAAAACGCCTGTCCTAGATTCTAATGATGACCATCAACCAGGGAGATAACTTTAAGACGTTGATTTTTCGCTGTATGGTAAAGACAGAAACCTATATTAATTTCTTTCAAACAGCATTACCTGTCAAATCATACGTGTAACAACTGGGTAGTCTTTTTTTGGAACGACCTTTTACTTACCTTGTCTGCTATAAGAAGTTCAGGTGTTATTCCTTAAATTACATAGTCAAACATAATTCCTATGGTTGGATTATGTAACAGTCTTCACATTGTTGGTTACTTTTAGGAGTATTTCGGAAAATGTGTCCATCAGTCTAATATACTTATGCTTTTCCTTGCTGATGATTTCTCAACAGTTTCGTAGGATGGCTGGCTGCCTGACTGACTGGTTTCAACATAGAACAGATGTACGGTAGTTCCAGTTGCAACACTCCCTACATGTAACGCACAAAGCAGGAGAAGAGAGTAAAGGGAGGTTCAAAAGACAGATAATAAACAGAGATGTGAAGCAAAAAGAATGGTAATAATGAAGAACTGCTGCTGCTGCTGGATTCAACATAGAACTTGGCACCGAAGTGCACCAGTTTGAGTTGACACGTTCCAAATAGCACATAAAGGTAGACAAGAAGTTGAGTGATGAAGAGAATCAATAGAATTTAGATAAGTATAAGAGTGAAACAGAATGAGTAATGGTAGAAACGAATATGAGAGATTACAGAGACTGAATAGATCTGCGTAAGCCATTGACAACGATTTTGAGCCATGTCACCTGTTGTCACTAGCTATTGATTCTTAGAGTCCCGAGGGTGGGCCCCAACCCGGAAGTCTGAATCTCCCTACCTCACTCAGTTTAACTGTCAAGGATTTCATGGATTGATGAGGCCCGAGCTTTCTGGATCCGTGCTGAGATTTTGTCACCAATCAGTCCGTTGGTGCTGATGCAACTTCCTAAATAGGTGAAGTGGTCAACATGTTCTATCACTTCACTCCCTATCACTAAGTGATAGAACATGTTGACCACTTCACCTATGAAGAACTGTAAAGTTTTATTGAATATGACAAGTCAGAAAGACTGATTGCATCTGCGCCACCCACTGAAAACGAGGATTTTCAGCCATATCACCAATTGTCTTAAGCCTCATTCATTGATGTTTACCATCCCGAAGACCCCAATCAGATAGCAGTCTACAAGTCCGTACGTGGCTGACTGGATGGCTTGAACTAACTGTTGTGGATTTACTTCATTGACTGATGAAGCCATGTCCTTGGTTTGACCACCACTAGCTTTCTCTTTTGCAACCCTGATCCAGTTTCGTAGTATACGCATGTGTCTATTTGATAAACCATCTGTGATGCATCGATTGCCTTCACTTTCTTTTCAATGTACCATTTTTGTGTATGTTCTAACAGTTTCCTATCTTTCTGTTTACTTCACTTTTATGGAAAAAAGGGTTTTCGCTTAATATTTAAAGATGGAACACGATTTGTTTATCGTCTAAGTGGTACAGGCAGTAGTGGAGCAACACTTCGAATGTATATTGACACATATGAAGCAGATCCAAAGAAACATGAACTTTCATCACAGGTCAGTTTATCTGTAGCCCCCTTTTTTAACAGATGCCTATTTGGTGGTTACATGACTTCATCATGAGCTGATATCGGTTAGCGAACCATGGGAAAACCAACTGTGGTGGGAATACTAGATAACTGAGATGGGATGCTCAGGTAGCTAGTTACTTGGGGTTCTAGTGAGAAGTCGTGACCAGTAGGGTACGACAGGTTGGGCGTGAGGACAAATACTCTCCAGCGATGACATTGGCTAGTGTCAGTCGCGCTGTGTCGTGAATTGGACTGGCCATTGGATCGGGTCCCAGTGGCTTAACGGTCTACTAGCTCTCTGGCCTTGTAACCAGAAGGTTCTGGGTTCGAACCCTGGTGGTGGGTGCGTACTGCTGAAGATTCCCAAACTAGGACGGATGAAACAGCTATCCAGTACTCCCAGCTGGTTTTCCAATGGTTCTCTAACTGATGTCAGCTGGTGATGAAATCCTGTGACCAACCAATCAAATCCCTACAAACCGATGCGCCTATTTGTTGTGCGTGCATCATAATGTTTGATTCAGACTCTGCTTATTTTCCTACTATTACTTTTTGCTTAAATGATGATATTGTCTGGATTAGTGAAATCAATTAACTGTCTGTCTATAGCTTAAGTTTACAGTCAGTCATATCTGATGGAATAATTAGTCAATATGGAAAAAATTTATTGCACTTTAACGTGATATATAAGTTAATTAAACTGTCAGTCACTGTTATTTGAAACTAAGCTAGTAGTAGTTATATATGCTTTCATTTCTTTTGCATAGATTATCTGATTGTATCTCATAGAGATTACATACAGTAAAGGTATCACATATATATATATATATATATATATATATATATTAGAGAGAAAAAGTCCAGAGTATTTGAATTCAAGCAGTAAGAATATGAAAACAGATTCTCATCAAACTGCTTTCCATGGACATATGAACTGTAGCAGATATATTAAAGTTCCAATAAGAACAGTCTTAAAACGGGGTTATTTATAGTATTCTTAATATATTTATGCATTGAAGTTTCTGTGGCAATTTGGTTAAGTTTTCGGGGTGGAGTTGCTAGTACCACGCCCCAACCCTCCCTCTTTATCCGGATTTGGGACCGTCTAGAAAACTAGCGAGCTAGTAATCTAGGTGAGGTTAAAGCCCTTGGTGGAGGTGGGATCTTCGTCACTCAGCATCAACAACAAAATGATTCGGATTTTCAATACAAACGTCATGTCAGTCAGTTCTTCTATACGGATCAGAAACTTGGTGGGTCACAAAGAGTATTTCCAACAGTCTGTTGCAGACCTTTATCAACAACTGTCTTCGCTCTATACTGAAGATCAGATAGCCGCCGGAAAGAATCACCAACAAGAAACTATGGGAACGAACAAAACAAGAACCAACCGCTCAACAAATATGCCGGAGAAAGTGGAGATGGATTGGACACTCGCTGAGGAGGCCGCTGAGTGACATCGCGCGTCAGGCCAGTGCTTGAGTGGAACCCGAAAGGGAAGCGGCGAGTGGTTCGTCGGTGCAAGGATGACATGGAGGAGATTGTGTGAAGAGGAGTTGAAACAGTATGGACTAACATGGATGCAGGTGAAAAGTACAGCAGAAGACAGAAACAAGTGGAGACGAGCAGTTGAAGCCCTATGTTCCACTAGGAACCCAAGGGAACAATAATAATAATATAACGGGTTATAAAAGTGTTTAAATTACGACAGATCTGTACTCTCTTTAGATCTGTTACCGTTATGCACTCCTGTTTAATAGCAGACAGGTAGGTAGAATAGCCTAGGATTACAATATAGTATTAAAATCTATACACATAATGTCACACCACAATGATATAGTTATTTCTACGTCGAATTGCGATACCACATGGTCTTAGATGTTTGGAGGTAATCGACAGGACACCTTGAATCTAGGTTTCGTGTTAGTTGGCTGTCACTCACCAGTCAGCAAGGCGTATCTGCAACTGCCTTGAAGGAACTCATTTCCCTTCTGAGATTCGAACCCGCGTCACCCAGTGCTATCAGCAGTCAGTCTGACTCACGATCGACCTCCTTCCTGTAGGACTGGATATTTTGATTTGACACTAGTAACTAGTGTGATGTATCTAGTCCTTACTTTGGTGCAGATTGAATTCTATTGGTCATGTTTGTAATGTGGCCACCATTCTAGGTAGCTTGCCAACACGGAGTACGTTGATTTGATGGTATTAGGTGGTTGAATGCGATCCGTAGGAAACATTGAACACCACCTAGGTTTCGTGTTAGTTGGCACTCACCAGTCAGGAAGGCAGGCGTATCTGCAACCTTCAAATGAAATCAATGTGCATCGCGATGGCCAGCAAACTAGTTGCATGGTGGCCACATTGCAAACCTGACTGATAGAATTCAGTCTGCACTAAACAAATGACTAAACACATCACACTAGTTACTAGTGTCGAATCAAAGAATATTACATGATCGTTGAGTAAAGTGGATTAAAAGAAGTGAACCGCTACGATTGACAAAACCAAAAACAGTAATGGTTAACCAAAACTTAACCGTTTATCGAGAAATCATTCCAGTTTTAATCAATGATTTAAAGAGTGAACTGAACTCAATTTTTCAACGTAGAAGTATGCATTAAAGTTCAGCATTCCAAGTTGCCATACTTCTTAAAGCATCCTGAAGACCCAAATCAAGCAGTCTACATCTCCCTACGTGACTCAAACTAGCTGTAAATGGGGTTGGTTGGAGGATTTTATCATGAGCTGATATCGCTTAGAGAACCACTGGAAAACCAACCATGAGAACTGGGCAACTGCTTCATCCTAGTTTGGGACTCTTCATCAGTATGCGCCCACTGGGGTTCGAACCCACAACCTTCTGGTTACAAGGTCAGCGAGCTCGTAAACCACTAAGCCACTGGGACACGATTCAATGGCAAGAGTCCATGAATTCCAACTTCTGCCAATTCATGGCATAGCGCGCCCACTTCGCAATATCTTCTCCGATGAGTTACTGCCTCACCTTTAACCTACTGTCGCGGACGAAATAGCTGTCCAGTACTCCCAGCAGGTGTCAGTGGTTCTCTAACTGATGTCAGCTCCAACCAATCAAAGTAAATCCCTACAAAAACCAATAGCTGAAAATAATCGTTAATGACTTCTCATGCTGATGTTGTTTCTCTCTTTCCCAACAAAATCCTGTATCAGTTAACACTGCTCGACAAGGAAGATGGCAGCCTGGCATGCGCAACATATGTTTTTGCCGTTTTAATCGATTTATCTGAACAACCACATCGATTGACTTGCCCGCCCTCCTCCTTATCTAGAAATTTACGCATAAACTCGGTAATACCCTACTGTATTATAACAATACGGGAGATAGAACGCAAACACATCTGTAGTCAATGACCGCTAGCTGGTCTTTTCATATCACAGCCATATAGGAGGAGAAGGAGGGCAGAGTGAACTAACCTGCGCACTACACATATCCTTTGATTGACAACGAGTTATCACGTTTACACGGGAGATGACGTAATCTGGCAAATGCTACACGAGTCTTTTGTATCCGTGTTGAGGTCTTGTCATCAATTAGTCCCGTAGAGTTGATGCAACTCCCCAAATAAGTTGAATAGTTCATGGATTGCATCATATTCCTCGTTAACATTGAACTTAGAGTCGGTGCAGACCAGTCTTGCAGCATCATCGTACATTTGACAATTAGGAAGACTCTGCATTTTTGTCTGAGTCTTTACTTTAAATCGGTGACACTTTTGTAAACTGGAGTGATCAGTGATTTACACTAGTCCAGTTGGAGTACTTAATATTTCAAACAACGCTGTATGTCTTAGTTAACCTGGTCAATAATTCATCACCCATTAATCTTAAAAACCTCTTATCGATTGCTTTCCTAAATGATATTTCTCTTAATTATCTGACATTCGATAATGAATGTCGGGAAATAAATTAGAGTTTAGGCTTTTAGGAATTTATTGATATTCAATAATCCCCATCCAGGCATTAATGAAAACAAAACACGTAGATCAGCGATATTGATATTCGTTGTTTTGTTTTTTTGTTTGCAACATTTTTTTTAATGATTTAAACAAATTTTGATTTCAAACAAGCAACAGATGTTAATAAAGCAGGATTTAATGAATTCATCGAATTTCAGTAGAACTCTTCAGCTGAATACTCCCTACATACAGGGATATAAATACATATATACTCAGGTTCGAATCTCAGAAGGGACATGAACTCCTTCAAGGCAGTTGCAGATACGCCTTGCTGACTTGTGAGTGACAGCCAACTAGCACGAAACCTAGGTCCAAGCATGGCTTCCTGCCGATTGCCTCCAACAATCACATATGAATTCATCAAATCCTGCTTGGTTTAAATTACCCGGTCGACGCACTCCCAATACTCACTTGGCTGGAAATAAGCCAAAGGCAAGGAGGGAAGGTTGGGTGTCGGACTAGCAATCTCACCCCGTAAAAATATAACCACTGCTACTGAAACTTCAAAGGTCTAGATTGAAGCCGTATTATTATTATTGTTTCCTTTAATTCCTAGAGGAACATAGGACTTCAGCCGTGCGTCTCCATTGCGTTCGGTTCTCTGCTAGAGTCTTCACCTGGCTCCGAGTTTGCCCACATGTTTTCATCTCGTCTTCACATCACCTCCTTCAAGTCACCCTTGCACTGACGACCAACTCGCCGCTTCCCTTTCGGGTTCCACTCGAGCAATGGCTTGTCTAGTGATGTCACGTCATGGTTTATTTTCTCAGAGTATGGCTTCCGATCGACCTGCATTTCTTCCTGCATATTTGTTGCACAATCGGTTCCTGGCTGGTTGGTTCACTCCCAGAGATTGATCCGTGTCGCTGATCATTTCTGGCGATCTGGTCTTGAGTATTGAGCAAAGACAATTGTTAATGAAGATCTGTAGTTTGTTTGAGGTGCTCTTTATGACGCGCAGTGTAAGTCTCTGATCCGCATAGTAACTGGCACTGACTTCACATTGGAATTGAAAATCCGGATGTTATTTTTGATGGTGAGTGCTGTTGATCTCCACACAGACTTGGGAGTAGTGAAAGCTTGTCTTGCTTTCCGGATTCTTGCTTTCATATCCTCGTCAGTTCCGTTCGCCTGTAGTTGAAACGATGCTTCCCAAGGAGGGTAGGTAGAGGAGGTTGTATCTTTCAGGTTCCTCCCATTTATGCTGATTGTTGTCTGTTGTTGTTGTTGCTGTTGGTTGTGTTGACCAGGAATCTTCATCACCTTTGCTTTCCCTATGTTCACCTGAAATCCTATCTTCTCTGGATGCATCTTCCCCTGGCAACTTGTTGCTTTTCATCACTTGCATATCTTTCAGTTTGTGGGAAATCAGACATATATCATCGGCGAAGCCGTATGCTCCACTGGAAACCCACAGAAATAAAATAATAAAAAATAATGATTTAAATTTGTATTAGGAAGTGAGTGCTTCCAAATTTGACTTGGTTAACTTCTCCAACATATTCATAACTACACATTTTTGATCAGAATTCACATAATCATTTGCCATTTAGTATTATTTTGGTAAATTGCATTTATGATGAACACCACTATCGTCTCTTTCCCTACACTAAGACATTTGCTAGTATTCTTTTTAGTCTCAGTGGCATTGATGACAGATATCAGTGGTGTGGTTTCATTGGAGCGTTCCATGGTAAGCCAATTTATTTGATACAAATCAACTGGTTTAATGATAGTACTTCATATACATATATTCAGTAATTCTATAAGTTGTGTTTACTCAAATTGAACTATGCCTGTTTTTCCTCCCTTTTCCTTTATAGGAATATTTGAAACCGCATATTGAATTAGCATTGAAATTGTGTGGGGTAACTGAAATCACCGGTAGAACGGCGCCAACTGTCATCACCTAATTATACTTACTGTGATGATCACGATGATGGTGATGCATACACTTTAATGCCTATGATTTCTTTTGTTATTTCCGCACTGGAGTTTATCATCCCCTTGATTTGATTGATCCCTGCTCTGTTCTGTCTTCCATGCTAGTTTACTTTTCTCAACAAACTTGATTTTGTGACAATATTGTTGATCTGATCCTATGATGGATGAGATGAGAAAATGATTGTCCACCAAATCATGACCATTTTTTTCTTTTTTTCATTCTTTAGTAAGCCTTTGCACCTAATTTCCGAATTTCCAATCGAGAGAAGAAATTCACCCCGTGATAGAGAGAGTGTTATGCGAATTATGCAGCACATTTCACCTTTCCTGTTGTTTCTCATGTGAATTTCTCATTTTACCTTGGTTGATGACAACAATTCATTATTACTGTTATTATTATTATTAGTGTTTAAAGGAAATGATAATATTTTCATTTTGATTCTTTAAAAGAGGAAAAATCGACATTATTTATTTATATAGTCCTAACCTGAATAGTAGGTTTCTCTATCTCTAGTCCCCTTACACTGCCATGCTTTTTCTAATTACTTATTTGCTTTTCTACATTACATATACTTATTATATTTCTACCCTTTGAAAAATTTGTATTAGATAGTATTGGAATGTGCTTTTTGGATACTTATTATATTATTATTATTACTAATCAATAAAGTTAGGAGTATTTGTATTTCTTATATTCAGAATGATGAAATGAGTTAGTGTATCTCCGACATACTGTTTGGTGTGTTTGTGTGTATCCACCACAAACTGACTACTCCTACTACTCTACACACTTTTACCAATACTTGTTTGCTTCGATGTCATCGGGAGTGGATAGCGCTAGTATAGTTTGTGTTTTTTTGTAAGAATAGAATTTGACGCAGTATGGTAAAGTCTGCAATTCCATTATGGAATAATAATCTTATTGGATAAAAACACACATTAGTATAATAACAGATGACATTTTGAACACAATTCATTGCTCATAAGCCAATCATGATGCGTCGATAGTTCGGGGGATGGAATACTTGCCAACTACTCCACTCATGTGGTCTGGGGTTCGATTCCCGGCGGATGCGCGCCTAAACTTTGCTTAGGTGTGGTAGTAAAAGATTGGTGACGGGGGGGGGAGATTGCGTGGGCATGAGGCTAGCAACCCCATCCCGTGAAACACAAACAGTGCTGTTACCGAGACTTCAAAGCTGAAGGTTGCAGCTGTATGTTCCCTCTGGAAAATTCAAAGAAATAAGATATAATAATAGTAAGCACAGTAGGTTTGACTAATAAAGAATGAATTAACTCGGGTAAATTACATCAGATTTCCACCTTTTTGTTGTATGAAGTTGTTAAGTTTAGGTTTTGAACGACAGTATTTTCGATAATAACCAAAGTGATTACATTTGATTCCATGGTAACAGATCGATGCGAGAGGTATTTAGGTGTAGACTGCATTCACTGATGATTATTTAACTCTGTTTAGATCATTGCTGCCTTTTTTGAATGGAAACTTTACTTTCCACCATATTTCCTCCAGTGGAATGTAAGATGTTTGTGTTATTTTTTTCCCAGTTTTACATTTTATTAGGTAATATAAGGTAACAGACATATAACAAGAACTGGGATGTACTAATTTATTTGTCTCTTCGGATCCCACTGATCACCTGATTGGTAAAGTGAGATTTTATTTTCCCTGTCGTAAATTTCGCCTTGTAAGGTATTGGAATGAGTACAGATATTCTACACTGGTAACCTTTTCAAAGAAAAGATTCTCCTTATTTCTTTCAGATTTCAGGCTGTATTCCTCTATCTGTACACATTTTCATTCATATTTTATTGTCAAATAAACTATCTATTTGTTATGACTTTGATTTTTCAGCTAGTGTGTTGCATTGTGTGCTGTTTGTGAAATATCTTTTGTTTTTTACCTTTCTTTTTATCATATTCTACATGAATTAGCTAAACTTTGAAGTAGGAGGGACTATCCGATAGGGTGACTGAAGGAAGTTGTTTGTTCAAAATATTTTAAAAAGTGTTTTTTTCAACTTTGGCCACGAGCTGACATCGGTTAGAGAACCATTGGAAAACCAGCTGGGACAGCCTTCGCGTCCTAGTATGGGATTCTTCATCAGTACGCTCCCACCGCCAGGGTTCAGACCAAGGACCTTCTGGTTACAACGCCAACGAGCTCGTACACCATCAAGCCACTGCGACTGGTCTACGAGCTCACCCTGTAACCAGGAGGTCCTTGGTTGGAACCCTGGCGGTGGGTGCGTACTGATGAAGAATCCCATATTAGGACGCGACGGCTGTCCCAGCTGGTTTTCCAATGGTTCTCTAACCGATGTCAGCTCCTGTTGAAATCCTGTAACCAACCAATCAAATCCCTACAAACCAATACTTGAAAAGTTAGCGAATCATTAGAATCCAGGGAGTAGTAGTGGACAGCTGTTTCGTCCTAGTTTAGGACTTTACAGCATTCAGCACCCATGAACCAACTGGTCATCGAACTCAGGGCCTTTAGATTACAAGGTCAGGCCATAAACCATTCAGCCATTATGGCGGAATCCAGTAGCCCATGAATTCTAATTTCTGCGCAACCGCCAACCGATGTTATCGGCGAGTATTCATCCGCATACCCTACGTAGTGGACCCCACTGATCACGAAGACTTTTTACTAGAACTTCAGGCAACTTTACATCCTGTGAGCATAGGATTTTTTTGGCAAATTTTCTTTTCGAGGATTTCAAATGATACAGAATGATACAAAGAAGTATAAATTGTGTGCATCGTGAAAAACTGGTTGAGCCCAGCATCTAATCGTCATTACCCATTTACGAGTATGGTTTACCCAATTTAAAAATAATAGCTCATATCTAGCAGCATTTTTCTGTGCATGGAAAACGTAAGAAGCATGAGACTAGAGCGCGTCGGTGGTCCAAGGGTCGAATACCCGCCTGTCACTTCTGTGATCCGGTGTTCGATTCGTAACCGATGCATTGCTGAACCTCGCATAGCCGGAAGTAAGTCCGGAAAAGAGAGAGGGTGTTCGGTATGTGTCTGGCAACTTCAACAACACAAGTGCTACAGAAATTTTCAAGCTTAAAAAGTAGTGCTTGAAACCCTTTCACCCCCCACCCGTCTTCGGAACGTAAAAGGAATGAAATCAAACTAGAACACTTGTACAGTAATCACGGTGCTCGTTTAGATGACTGCATCTGTATTCATGATGAGATGATCACTGTATGAGAAATCGATTATTTTACGGTTTATGGTATCGTGATGTCAAACCACTCTGAATCAGGAGGCATACGCTGCATAGATAGATAGATAGTTGTTAGGTTAAAAAGTTTTAATAATGCAAAAAATGAAATTATCCTTATTGGTTGTTATCTGACAAGCGATCACTTAACGTTACTCTTGTTCATAGGTTTTTCATTCAGGCCAGTGGTTTCATTTAACTCGATGGAGAATATGAATAAATAATTTTTTTTTAAGGATATGCCTATGTGATTTCAGGTCATATAACGACAAGGTTATGCTACTCTCTGAGTAATCAGAAACATGTCAAACTTGTCCATTCCATAATTAGTCAGTAGGAATGAAAATAAATTAGGCGGTCATCATTTTGTTGGTTGTTTTTTCTTTCCCTAAAGTTTTCAAAACTAGCCTGTTTTCACTATAATCTCTACTTGTTTTTTTTTGTGTGTTATGCCTTTTTTTAGTTACCCGCCAATTCTGAAACAACACATAAAACACCTGGTGAAATTGATCTACAACCAGGAAATCGAGGTGTTCATTTTAATAGTGAAATGGTTAACGAAGATCGTACATCGAATAATTTATCAACTGTATCTACAAATCCTCAGTCATCTAGTCATCATCCACCGCATGTTTCACGAAAAGTTAGCTTTTCTGATTTACCTGTAATTAGTAGTAGTGGTACAGCTGAAGACCGCCACCTAGACGGTGGACTTCATCCGTCGCGTATTCCAGCTGAAGATGAAGGAATCTATGATGAAGATGATGACTCTGGACATCATATAGAAGTTCGTCTACTGGATCCAACGACAGATGATATGCCAACTCTGCCGTCTAACTTCACCAATGTACCTGTGTATGAAGTTAAGTTGGGAATGCTGAAACAGGCAACAGTTTATCGGGTTGAATTCACAATACCGGATAGATTGAAACCTGGTGAAGTGGAAATGTTGAGAACTGTTGTTGAAATGGATGGTCGTGTTAGCGTGCCGGTTAATGTTGGCGCTTCTTTTGTTCTGCTGAGCTGTGAACCTGTCCCGTCACCCAACCATGGTAAGATATTTTAGATCGACCATTATATATATTACTTAGTGGAATTCGTGACATCTTAAATCCATTGGCTAAGATAATCCTTTTAAATTTTTACAAAAATCTTGTTACTAAGGTATCACCCTTCACGAACTTATGAAGATTTCTTTAGTTTGAATATTTATTACGAAGTGTGATAAGTAAAGTTAGTATTTTCATCGAAGCTTCCTTGACTTATGTAATTTTCAGGATGAATTAGGGGTTGAAATCAGTTACAGAAGCCTTGAAAACCAGCATGGAGTACTGGACATATGTTTCGTCCGAATTCGGGACCCTTCAACAGGGCGCATCCGCCGGGGTTTGAACCCGATCATGAGGCGAGCTCGTAGACCATTCAGACCCGACCCACTGATCCTTGAATTCCAACTTCTGCCAATTCGTGATCGGTCGGTCGGTTTTCGACATAGAACTTTGCACATATGTGCGGCAGTTCAAGTCGCCACACTCCCTCCTTGTAGCACACAAAGCAAGAGAAGAAAGTAGGAGAAATGCATATTAGAGACAGTAAACAGAGGTGTGAGACAAAGGAATAGTAATAACGAAGAACAAAACAGTTTAATTGGAAATCATAAGTCACAAGGAGTGGATGCATCTGCACTAGCCATTGAGAAAGATTTTCAGCCATATCACCAATTGTTTCCAACCATTGGTTTTTACCGTCCCGAGGACCCCAACCAGGAAGTCTACACCTTCCTATGTGGCTTAGACTAACTGTTGTAGATTTCATTGACTGATGAAGCCATCTTTTGGTTTGACCACCGCTAGCTCTTTTCCAGCCTGGCCCCCTATATCAGCTAACATTGCCCATCGGTCGAGGAAGGCGATAACTAGGCATACGTTACACATGTCCTATCCATCTCAGTCGATGTAATTTCACAGTCTCGTCGACTGATTTCCCCTCCTTACCTAGCACTCGACCGATGCCTCACCTCAATATTGCTCACCTTATTATACCACTTCACACGGGAGATAGAACGCAGACACCTATGATCAAAGACAGCTAGCCAGGATTTTCATGTCTTCCACTCTCAATGGCCAGGTCTCACAGCCATAAATTCGTGATCAATATTTTTGTGTATTTTAATCTCATGATAAACTAATTAGAGTACTACACATCCCAGGTTTACCCCCGAAATCTCAAATAATCCGATTCAAATAGTTTACATTATGTTTACTGTTGATTGATGTGTTCTAGAGTGTGTAAGGACGATCAAATTCTGGAAACAGCTCTATTATGTTAGTGCCTAGTTAATTGATATATATTCGTGATGAAATAACACAACTGTTTTCATTGGCAAGCCAATTAAAGAAGAAAACTGCGTGTAGTGTGTCAGTGTTGTTCAGTGATCGAATCCTCGCCAGTCACGTGAGACGTTCCGGTTCGATTCCCAACTGACGCACTCCTAAACGGCAGGGTAGTAAGCTTGGAGTAAAAGAATGGTTAGGAGGCGTGGGGTCAACAACTCCACGTGATAAAAACAGTACTGCTATTGAAATATTGACGTTTGAAGCCGTATGTTCCACTGAGTACACAATGAAATGAAAAAGTAACTATTACATCTAAGAATGCAACACGATTTTTTTATTCCTTCACATTCCCAGTAGAACATAGAGCTTGAAGCTAGATGCTTGAAGTTTCTGTAGCAGTGGTGTTTATTATTTTTACGGGATGTGGTTGCTAGCCTCATACCCAACCTCCCCTGTTTACCAGTCTTATTACTGGCTTAGCCGAGGTAAAGGAGTGCGTCCGTGGCCGGGGTGCGAACCCCTAACCATCTGCGTGGTTGGCGAGAATTCTACCGCTGTGCCACTGACGCGTCTTATGTTTGTGTCTCCTATTCATTCTCTTATTTCCCGGTGTTATCACGTTGTTTCTTGGGGGTACGTCTGTTATATAGTCATACATTTCAATTACCTCCATGCTTTTTTATGTTTTATGTAAATTTGTGTATCAGTTACCTCAAGGTGAACAAACCCATTTACCTATATTCAGCCATTTGTTGTTGCCTCAGACTGTTTCCTAACTGAGACTGTTTAGGTAATATGTTTCCTCAGTACCTTCAATGTTGTTATATTCTTTAGTGGGGATGATTCAATCGGGATTATTTGATTGTCCACTTTAGATAGGGACATTATGATGTCTAACTTCAGAAGGAAGTCAATTTTTTCTTTGTATATTCTTCACTCGTATTTAATCTCTGCAACATCTGATGTGCTTGCTATTTATTTTCTTTAAGGTGATGTGTGGTTAGTGCTAAGTCGTTACTTTTTTCATTTACTACAATGTCCTCCATTTATCTGTGGTTGGCAGTATATGATCTTGACTAATACTCTTTATAAAAATGAAGCTATGCGCACTTGCAGAATTGAAAATCACACACTTTCAGTGATGTGTGGTGGCAAGTGCGAAGGTTTATTAGCGACACAACGCTCGCCAACGACTCCACGCACATGGTCCCGGGTTCCATTCCCGGTTGGCACACTCCTAAGCCTTGCTAAGCTGGTAGTAAGTCCAGTAAAGAGGTACGGTTGGATGGGCGTGAGGCTAGTACATGTCATTAATTCACCGCTCTGTATCTTGACTTGTCAGCCACCACATCACAAACGTGGTCAATGTAATTAAGTGAATTCCTGATATTATATTATAAGAAAAGGGCACAAACAGCGAAGAAAATTTTCTTTTCGACGATTCATTTTCATGAGCTGTACACTGTCGTAACTATATTTAACAAAGAAATCTTTAGACCAATCAGATACTGGTAAACTTTGTCCTTGAAAAATTGTATTACACAATGTAAGGTGTAAGAAGGGATGACTAATTGTAAGTTAGAAAGGAGAGAGAAGTTGGCATGACGTAATAAGTGTGAGATAATGACTGATCAATAAGCTCGTGTAGAATGGACAGGAACTAGTGGAAAGGCTATAAAGTGTTTTTGTATAAAATCTGTATGAAAAAGCAATGTTATTAATAAACAGTAATAGAGTGGTAATAAAATGTGGATGATGTAAATAATAGTGATAATAAAAGTATTAATAATAATAACAATAATAATAATAATAGTGAACTTACCTAATAAAGAAAAGAAGCAAAATTGTGGTAAGAACTTTACTGTGGCCATGGTAGGGTAAGAGAATGTATGTATCGCTTTTGAATGCAGAGGTTCGGCTTCAGATCTCGAATAGCTAATGCTTCAGCTGTTGGAACACAGCCACTCTACGTATCACATTTTCCTGCGGACAGTTAATCCAGTCTAACGCTTAGGACAAGATACCGCTTTTGGCCACTTCAATGTGTATTTATCAATTTACTTGCTCGTGTGGAGCAAAGTATATCGGACGTACGCAACGTCAACTCCACAAACGTATTCTGGAACACTGCCAAGCTTGGTTAGCCGGAATAGAAAAGAAGACTAGCAGCAGCTCGATCCTCGAACCTCTTGTCATCTCCGGACATCGAGCACCCTTACATGAATGCTTCACAGTGTTAATAACATTGCTTTTTCATACAGATTTTATACAAAAACACTTTATAGCCTTTCCACTAGTACCTGTCCATTCTACACGGGTTTATTGATTAGTCATTATCTCACACTTATTACGTCATGCCAACTTCTCTCTCCTTTCTAACTTACAATTAGTCATCCCTTCTTACACCTTACATTGTGTAATACAATTTTTCAAGGACAAAGTTTACCAGTATCTGATTGGTCTAAAGATTTCTTTGTTAAATATAGTTACGACAGTGTACAGCTCATGAAAATGAATCGTCGAAAAGAAAATTTTCTTCACTGTTTGTGCCTTTTTCTTATGATTCAATATGGGAATATTTCGTTCATTGATATTATATTGTAATTTCTATTTAGTTTTCATTACCCTGCACCACATCCTACTTAGCATTTACGCATCATTGTTAGTTTTGTAAGTTCTAACACTTTTCTTGTCTATCTACCTAATTTTAGACACTTTTATCAGGTTGTTTTTGTTAACCCTCCCCCACGTATTTCTACTTCCATAGGTCATGTATTGGTTATGGAAGTTTCAACAACTAAACAATCACGTGTCAACGAGTTGATGACACTGCGTCGAGTTGAAACACCAACAGATGCTATTTGTATGCTTCTACATGGAATTTCTCTAGGTAAGAGAAGCGTTTTTATTATTTCTAAACGACAATTGAATTTTTTCACTGTTCCTGTGAGATTGTGTTCAGTTTCTCATTCACACTTGTCCTGCCTTGCTTTTGCTTAATCTTGTTTTCCCCTTTGTGTGTGAGATGTTGTAACTTTGACTAAATATATAGGCTTGTATTATCTAGTTGACCGCAAGTTTTCACTCAATTTATTTCTTCACCTCTATCTACATTAACCTCTAATTGTGTCTCTGTAACCATGTAATTAGTTACCCCACTGAATTAACATTATATATATATTTCTCGTTAAAGGGTCATTCAAATAAGGATAAGGTCACCACACACACACACACACACCACACAGTTTGCTACTAATTTTTCGCTGAACTAAGCTTTGATAAATTGGAAATTATGGGAAAAACCCTTCCCCTGTAATTTCAGTGAAAATTTTATTCTTCTATTTTACTAACTGTACTGATAAAAAAGCGACACTGAAAACTTGGTGATTGTAGTATTGCTTTTTATTTTGTGAGGAAAGTTTTAGTATGCCTCGTGTATAAACTAAAGTTTTAATGGTTTTAGTCTTTAAATTCCAGGTCAAAATATATATATGTATATAAACAAACAGATGGTGTAGCGATGGGATCCCCTATCGTAGCAGATATCTTTATGGACAGCTGGGAAAATATTGCTCTTAATACATTTAATCCTACTCCAAACGTAATATGGTGGAGATATGTGGATGACACTTTCACTCACAGTGTTAAAAACACAACATATCTCTAGCTTCTTGACACATATAAACTCACTAGTAAAGGGAATAAAATTCACATTTGAATCTGAAAATGAACAAGGAGAATTAGCTATGTTAGATTGTAAAATAAAACGAAGGGAAGAAGGTAAACTGCACAGTAGCGTTTATAAAAAGCCAACGCATTCTAATAGATATTTAGACTTTAATTCATCTCATCCATTATCTGTCTGTAAAGGCAGGCTTAGTTAAGTGTTTAACAAACTGAGCAGGACAACACAAAACGTAATCGATGAAATAAAACAGATAGAAGAAGCGTTGGTGTTAAATGGCTATTCTATAAAAGTCATTAGGAAGATCTGAAAAGGCCAAAAACAAAATAAAAATAATGGTGAAGCTAATAGTATGAAATGTCAAAACACTTAGCTCTAATATTTTGTTACATTAGAAATCATTCAAACTCTAGGCTAACTAACTAATTTATATGACAGGAAAAGGAAACTAAATGACATTCAATCAGAGAATAATAAAAAAATGGTCAACTTTTAACTTAACTAGTCTTTACACCAACTGATAATACTAATCAGTATGGCCGTAGAAGCGGTTAAAAGAGAACTAATTGCAGATCCCGAACTTAGTCATAGGAAATTATTTGAGGATTTCAGTTCTGACTCAAATCTACTATCTTTAAGTTTCAGGGCAAAATATACAGACAAACAGAAGGTGTAGCAACGTTTGCAGATTGATTTGATGGCGAGCTACCTAGAATGGTGGCCACATTGCAAAACCTGACTGATAGAATTCAGTCTGCACCAAAGAAATGACTAGACACATCACACTAGTTACTAGTGTCCAATCCAAATACTGTGAGACTTTATCAAAATAAATTTTTATTCACAATGGAAATGACTATCGTATTACTCTGATACATATATATTATGCTATTGATGATAATGTATTGTGCAAAAAGAAACTTGTAATTCTCTTGCATTTTATATATATATATATATTTCAATGTTTATGCATATACATATTTTTGTATTCAGCTAAAGGACAAGGTACTCCACTTCTACGCTCTGGTATTCATCGTATCAATGAAAATCAAGAATACATTGACTCAGATGAATACACGGAATGGCCTGGTTTTGTGAATATTGACGATGAAGATGATGAGGCGGCTCCATTGTCAACAGATAACACATATGCTGCTAATCAGGGCGATAATGAATGTTCATAGTAATATTTTAAAAAAAAATATATATATTGTTATCAAAAATTTCTTTTCTTCTGTTTTATATGTATGTTTTATAGTATTCACCAATAAATACCTTCTAATCTCTTATTGATTCCTTCCAATTTAATTTGGTTCTCCTCTCTATATGTATCTCTATATTATTAAGTTTTCATAATATTATAGTGATTATGATAATAATAATACTAACCATCTCCTTGTACATCTCAAACTCTATTATGATTATGTTTAGGGGGTTCATCATTTGTAAACTATCATATCTCTTCTTCCAACCCCCACGTCCCCTGGCCCCTTATCTTATTTCGTTTCTGAGTACATATATACAAACGCACACACCCACTCGCTGTCAGATACTGAAACGTTGTCAGACAGAAGAAAACATTTAATACTGTTTCACCTGGATAAATTATCACATAATACTAATAAGAATAACACTGACAGAACCTAATTAAATTATATCTCCAGCTTCTATTTTTTCTTTCTTTCTTTCTTTCTTTCTTATCCTAGTAATTATTATTGATCTACTCAATGTTTAACTAAACTCTCTTGTGAATGATATTCAATTATTATTATTCGTTACTTTCAGCACCTGATTGTAAAACAGCTGCCCTTTGATAACCCCCTCTCAGTGTTTCTCTCCAAAGACTAATTCACCAATATCTACTCATGACCTTTTCAGAAAGGTCATATGCGTGGGTGGGTGGGTGATGGGTGAAGGCAATATTGATGATTTTCAATAGTTCTCAGTACACTTTATTTTGCCAACTATACCTTTTTTTGTGTGTGTGTCAATTAATTAATTAATGATCTGTTCTCTAACTGATATTACTAACGGTTGAATATCAGTAGTGTATTTATGCTGATACACTTAGGCTTCATTAGACATATATACATATATACCTCACTTACTTATTTCTGCTACCTACTTGTTTTATTGTTATTATCAGTATTATCAATATTATTATTATTGTTACTTTTAATGTTATCATTTTATGGAGGTTTTATCACTGCCTCACTTTGTTTTGTTTATTTTGTAATGTGCATATATATATACATTTATACACGTTGGCGAGTGAAAGTGTAATGATACACGTGTATGTTGTATATATATCTATGGTGAAGCGTTACGTTACTGTATAACCCAATTCCTTGTTGTACATCATCATCCTTACTGTCGTAAACAAAACATGAAAAAATAGTGGACTAATAGTAACAATAATGATGATGACGATGCTGATGAGAACGATAAAAAAAGAAGACGAAATACAGAACAGAATCTCCTATCTCTCTCTATCTTTGTCTTGTTTCTTTTTTTTTGTTCTCTTTTTTTTCTTCTGATAGTGTTAATATGAATATGATGGTTTTTTAATGATAATCTAAGTGTCAGTTATGTCATGTACACAAACACAAGTATATTATAAATAAATATATATAAACATCTGAGTTAAAATTATTTTATAAAGCATTATTGTTTTTTTTAAAAATTTTTAACGCCTTGCCACACAACGGATTTAAGAAAGTAGGTGATGGGGGGTAGGGGTACTGCATAAGAGCTGTTCGAGTTGGTAGTTCTACATCGAGATCTTGATTGTACAATTGAAATACACGTCTGAAAGTGTTTCTGCTCAGATAGAGCTAAAATGAAATTGAAATACAAAGAATATGTATAATTGTATCTCATGATATGCCCTGTACTCTTGGATATGTTTAGAAATTCGGCCAAGTTAAACTTTAAGTAGCACTCACTAACTACCAATCAGCGAACGACGTCAAATTATCCAATGAACGTGAGTTCAATGTTGTATAGCGCTTGATTCTTCTTTTCAAATGCGTGCCCTAACGAAGTTATGGTTGCAATTCGAGGAGGATAATGTTTCCCACAATTGCCTGGATTTGAGGTTGCTTAGGAAGGAGAGAATTCGTTCGTTTGGTGGTGATGAGTTTTAAAAAGCTTTAGCAGGTCGACTGATGGATATGTCCATCGTTGTGCAATTTGTTTGAACCGAGTTAGCATTAGAGAAGGTAAGCTGATAATTTCAATATTTTGTAGGAACTTTGTTTGCAAGGTCGCATCTCTCTTTAACGCAAATTTTGTATATTTGCAACTACTGGGTCTTAAAACAGCCGGTGAGAGCCTCAGCTGCTGAAACCAAGATTAGCCTCGTCTCAACAGTTAAGCGGTATCAGCACTGCAGAGACATTGCATCGTGGAAAATGGAGAAAATTACTTCTTTGTTGGGTGGAGAAGATATCGTTGTGCACGTCGACGAAACTGTATTGCTGAATAAAAAATACAACCGTGGTCGTCAGCGAGCCAACAATATTTAGGTAATTGGTTTATACGACACATCCCTCCGAAAAGGATTCGTGGAAAGAATAGCAGGTAGAAAGGCAATTACTCTAATACCTTTTATTACCAGACTTATGAAACGGGGATCATTAATACATATGGATGAGTGGAAAGGTTACAACTCTCTGTCATCTCTTGGATATATTCATCAGACAGTGAACCATTCCAGTGATTTTGTCGATCCTATTACGAGGACACACAAATTCTATTGAAGGATTTTGGGGGAGGTTGAAAAATAGGATTGGAACTATAAATGGATCTCAAAAGGATCTCATTTGGATGAATATATGTACAGAATGTGGTGTGACTTCTCTATTGACAGTCCTATGCTTAACTGAGAATGCTAGAAAAAGATACCCTCTGTAACGGCGCTATGCTTTTTTCCATAAATACACGTTTTCCTTTATCAAACATCTCTGTTTAATGTGATTGGTCCGTTCAAGGTCGTTTGCTGATTGGACGTTATTGGTGCTGAAAGTTTAACTTTGCCAGAAATTCTTTTAAAACTAAGGTTGTTCTGGTATCATGCGGTTTCACATGTATTTAGATTGTTTAGTATTCACACTCTCTGTAGATGTGTTTATGTAAAGTAACAGTTGGCAGTCGACTACTGACTCAATTGTATCCTGTTGTGAGGACTGAATGTGAGTGGTGTACACAAGAAATTATTGACATTTGTACGGATGATTTATGAAGATGTATTCAACAGTTTGAATGTCAGTTATTTCCTGGGTAGTAATATTTATTCGTCAAACAGGTAAATGTTACTTCGTCGTTAGTGACTTTGAGGAGGTTGTCTGTGTTTCTGGAGACAATTTTTTCTAATTATTTTATTGCTTTACGTTCCGAGTGGTACTAAAGGCTTCAAGAGCTAGGACTTTGGGAAGCAGGGCCTTGCTAGCCTGTGTCACATCCAATATTCCCTCTTTGCTTGACTTACTACAGGCGTAGCGAGGTGTAGGAATTCTTTGGCCGAGGGTCGAACCCCGGACCACGTATGGCGCGCTTTGGGAGCATTCCTCCACAGAACCACCTACAAGACAAGAAAACTGCTAATTCATTTCATTGGTTGAACGATTTCATCATGAGCTGACATTCGTTAAAGAATCATCGGAAAACCAACTGGGAGTACTGGACAGCTGTGACTAGTAGGGTACAGCAGGTCGAAGGTGAGGACAGTTACTCATCGGAGAAGACATTGCGAAGTGGTCGTGAATTGGCAGAAGTTGGAATTCATGGACTCTGGCCATTGGATTAGGTCCCAGTGGCTTAGTGGTCTACAAGTTCGCTAGGCCTTATAACCAGAAGGTCGTGGGTTCGAATCCCTGTTATGGGTGCACACTTCTGAAGATTACCAAACTAGGACGGGGGAAATAGCTGTCCAGTACTCCCAGCTGCTTTTCCAGTGGTTCTGGTGATGAAATCCTCCAACCAATCAAACAAAATCCCTACACAAAACAGTACTTGAAAATGCATTTCATGCTAGTACTGTTGTTTAGTTTGTCACTGATGTACTAGCTTTATACCTGAATGGTGATATTGGCTAATTCACCAGTCAAATAATGTTTTCAGTGCTCCAATGTTGGATATTTTCGTGTGAAATTGGTTAACCTTTCAGTGATTGTCGAATATTGACTTCATTCATTGATCTCAGTACTGTCTTGAGTATGCCTAGAATCATCATGTACAAAAAGTGTCATATTTCCATGCGGATGTGTTATGATCACAGTAAAAAACCTGGTTGTTAATAAAGACAAGGTGATTATAGTTCTTACAATTTTTAGATTATCTGTCACGTTGTCAAATCTTCTGGTTTATTGCAAAACCTTTGTGTAAAGCGTAATATTTGTGTCCCAGTTTATAAAGACACTAGTGTTTTGTACTTTTATCATATAGACAGATCTGCATTACGATACCTTTTTGTCTTAGATATCATTGTATGTAGTGTCCACTTCACTGGAACTCTCTGTATTTGTCTGAATTCGCCACTGGCTCACGAAATTGATACTGCACAAACCTGCCTCTGTGAACGTATGTCATCAGATGATTATTCTTGTTGTCTTCAGAACTTCCAATGACGGACTGTAAAGCTGTTAGACTATAATTGTGCTTGTAAATGATTTTCCTAAAGTAAGTAGCTGGTTAAAAGTCAGTCTTATGCGAAGCTGATCACTTCATTAGATCTACACAAAGTTGTATGATTAAAAACCAATCACATTGATGACCAGAGTTCTTTTCTTATGTAGACTGTAGGTAAAATAAATTCTTTAGTCTTTGGTAGATGAGATAACTTTCGTATGCGTTAAACGAAACTCACTATTATGATAAATAAGAGTAACTTTGCACTAAACGTTATCCGTGAATGTGTTGTCCAGAAGGATAGATGAAAGCTTTACAATTCTAGATCATCCAGCTCAGAGAACAGCATCCACTTGAGCCAGAAATCTTCGCTGCTTTAGAGGGAACAATATTTATCATACGTAGTTCAAACCAACCCGTGTTTATTAAATATGACAAGGTTAATAATATAGAAGCAGCATGGATAATTGAATGAGTTTAACCGCAGATTGATATCAGATAGAGAGCCACTGAAAACCAGCATGGAGTACTGAACAGCTGTTTCCTCCGTCCTAGT